ATCACAGTGACCCAGTCCCCCGTGCCCCTCTGCCTGCAGGCAGCTGCCTGTTGTTGATTGGCATCACTCATGTCAGCCATACCAGGGCTGATGGATGGAGAAACCACCTATTCCGCTCGGGACTTCCTGCCAGCCCAGGCACCGTCACCCACTGCACTGAGGGCACTGTGCAAGGGCTGTGCTCACCCAGCAGCCCCTGGCTCCATAAATTTGCTTCCCAGTGGCACACCTGTACAGCCTGCACAAGGATGAAGAGCATGGTGTGTCTGTACCTGATTCTCACCCTAAATTTTTGAGACAGAGGTGCATAGCTGTTCCTGTCCTCATTTGTAAAACAGGGAACAGGGGCAGAACACAAAACATCGCATCCAAAATCACGCTGCATGCAAGCAGCGGCACAGCTATCACGTCAGCCACCTCCCACAAGCATGGCATTGAGGCTGATCCAGGCACCAAAGCCCTGCTCACTGCCTCTTCTCTTCAGCAAGGAACAAGTTGTTTTGCTCAAAGTTGATTGTCCTTACATTTGGAATAGCCAGGTTTCAGTCATTCAAAAAAAATAATAAATTATCGTGTTTAATTTAATTTCCGCCAGAAAAAAGCAAAGATTTCCAGTGTTGTTTTAGTGATTATATTCCACATCACCAATACAAAACGGTACTGGTATCTAATGCAAGCTGGCTCACTGAATCACAGCTAGCAGTCCTATCAAGCACAGGAGCAAAAGGGAACATTGAAGATCTGTCTTAAATTTGTTCAAATAGGCTTAAGAACTAGAATATCTGAAGTGCACAAAATACAAGTAGCTCAAAACAATGCCATTTCTGCGGTTCTCCTCCTTTTCCAGCTTTAGCTCAGAACCTTTGCCTTGAAGACAGACACTCCCACAGTATTCTCTCCAATATAATTGTCCAATTTTTTCCCTTAAAGAATGTGCCAAACAAAGTTTAGTCAAAATGAGCCAAGAAAATGTTTCTTGAAATAACAAAACACACCAGAAAACATTTACCGTATAGAAAAAGAATCTGAAATATAACAAAAATAAATCTCTTTGAAACGTCTGTTTCTCAAAGTAGCAGCATATTTCCCAGAGTGCGTTTCGTGATGTATTGGTCTCACTGTTCTGACTAGTATTCTCCTTTTATTAGTATTTTTCAGTGTCAGCTACAAAATGAGAAGAGCTGTATGTTGTTCACGGAAAACGATGCACATCTGGCAGAGCTCAGAAGATAAATCCAAACATAGCTTGGGTTTGGGCTTGGCAGCATTTTCTACCTCTAAGTACTCACAGTAACAGGCTTGCCTGAGAATACGGCACGCATTCAGCACATCGTTAACATGCCTTGGTGGAGAACTTTAGCATTTGCTTTGTCAAAAGAAGAATTTCTCTTCCTTTATTAAAAAACAGCAAGGAATATCAGTTCTGCTTTATTCTAAACGTGGTCTGTCTTCACCATTTTCACCATCACAAGTGCTCTAGTTTCTGTTCCATCCTTTCTCCTTCCCGATCTCTCACTGTTGCCTGTATGCAGCCTCCTGGAAAATTTGCTTCACTTGTTTTGCGAAGCCAGGACTGTCCTCTTACAGCGTGTTAGCAGCCCGCAGAGCAAAAAAAGAAGTCGTCTTCTGGGTTAAGTGGGTTCCTCAGTAGCCTCACAGGTATCACAGAGCTGTGATTGATGCTGTTAGAAGCATTGACAAGGGATGAAACACATGTGAAGGTCCATTCGGAAAATTTTGTCAGTAGCATAATAGTGCATGCTGAGCCATTCACAGCGTCACTTAAGTTTTCCAAGACACGTTTGCTACAAGATACCGCTGCAAAGATCATTTCAGATTTAACAGAAAATTTATTCTGCAGAAGGTTCTGGAACTGGATGGATCCACCTGCATTGTTGTCAGTGTGCAGAATCAGACACTTAGAGAAAACAGCCTCAGTAGTGTCATGACTGCTGCAAACTCCTGGAGCCTTCTATGTGGGCTCTGATTTCATCCGAGAGGCCACGAAGTTCACTAGTTGGCTTGGAGCCTCTTAGTCCTGTGCTCAAGGTGCTAGCCTTTTGCTGCTCTCTGCCAAGGTGGGTTTATCGGGGGTTGTTGCTGCCTGTTGCAACAAACACAGACATACAAAAATGATTTGTTGTTGTGACTAATACCTGTTTTCTCTCTTCTTTAAAACAAAACAACAACAAAATCTAACAGAGAAAGAAAAAAGCACAAGAGCTGCTGTGTGTTAGTACAATATATTTAAAAAATCCCAGCATTTCTCGCCTTTTTTAAATAACAAACTTGTTTGAGTGGAGGAAGCTATTACTTGTGATAATTAAAGAAGGCAGAAATGCTGAGAGAAAAGCTGATACCACAGTTCCCAGCCCTTTTTGCTGATGAACTCGATGCTCAGTGCTCTCCAGGCACTTCCTATGGAGACCCACCAGCCATCCATGGGCACCCAGCCCTTGCGGTTCCTACGCCGCGAAAGGAGGTGCTTTGCTGCAGGTGCTGGCACAGGGGCGGGAGGGAGGGAACCCTGTGGGATCTGCGCTCTCACCCCAGCTGCAATCAGTGGAGGTCATACATGGGGCCTGCCTGGCTGCCAGCAGCACAAGGAAGCTGGTGCTGGCAGCTCTCAGAGGTGGTACAATGCAGCACCTGCAGAAAACTGCACATCCAGCCATTCACTGTCTCGTTTCTGTTTATTTCCTCAATTGCCATTTGCACAGCTTGAGGTGACCTTACAGGAGCATCTTCTCTTTGGGCAAAGAAGCTGGAGGAGCCGGGGTCTTCAGCTCTGCTAATGCCACTCGCGGACCTGAGCAAAGCCCCCAGGGAGAGTGGGGCAGGAGGGGTCCTGGCGCTTTCTGCAGCTGACAGACAGATTGAGCTGTAGTGTGAGAGTGCAACCCAGGCTCATACCCTCCAGGGAATTTGGGCAACTGAATTGGCCTTTAAATTGATCTTGGCTTCAGTGCCTGCACCCAGCGTATTGAGTTTGTGTGGTGGGGTTTTGGGGTGGGGGGCGGAAGGGGGATGGAGCTACAGGAGTGGCTCCTATGAGAAGCTGCATCTGGTTGCAGTGTACATCTGGGGCAGGATCAGGCTGAGACAGTACAAGCAGTGGTACCTGCACAGAGAGCAGTACCTGCCTGGTATAACCTTATCACTCTCCTTCCCTGTGCTTCCCCTCCTCTCTCCTAACCTCCTTCTTCTCCTAAAATGCTGTTTCCTGTGCAGCCTGTCAGAGGAGAAATGGACAGGATCACCGGTGGGACTGTAGGTGTTCCCCACAAACCAAGCTGTGTCTGACACCGCTGAATGCTTTCTGTGGGCTCATCGCTCCCTCAGCTCCTCCTGTCCTGAGAAGCCCGACAAGCTCTCCCAGAAATAGATCCCAGTCTGACCCACAGCTTTTCCTTTTTTTACACACAAGGTTAAGCCAGCATTAGTCCGTCCAAGTCTAAGTATAGCATAGGTGGCTGGAGTCATCCACCGCTCCATGCTCTGCCACCGTTACAGCCCTGTCCAGCTCTGCACACCATGCTCGGGGATGGTTTCTTCTTCTGCCCTTAAATCCTGGTTTCCTTTTACCAGTAGAGTTTCAGGTGCTCTCCAGTGGGAAGTGAAAAGCTGGAATCCATGTCTGGCATTGGAAGAGTTTAGGTCAATCAAAATACTCAATGTCAGTGTTTTAATAATAAATCTCACATCAATAATCACTGCGGAGCACAGCAAACTGCAAAATCCAACATGAATCTTTAAAATGTACAGCACAAAAATGAGCATGGTGGAGATTAGCTAAACTAATATCAAGAACAGATGAATCAGTATCGTGACTCACAACTGTTAACAGATATAAATCCCTTCTAATACACTCCGGTCAATCTGTTGTTATCTCAAACCCTTTGAGCCTCACACTGGATACCAGAAAGGACTGTTAGGCACTGGAAAGGACTGTCATGATTTAACCTCAGGCAGCAACTAAACACCACAAAGCCACTTACTCACTCCCCACTCACTTCACATTCCTAGGGGAAGAGAAATGGAAGGGTGAAAGTGAGAAAATTGTGGATTGAGATAAGACCAGTTTAATAATGGAAAGAAAATATCATTACTGTAATAATAATGGTAGTAGTAGTAGTAGTACTAGTAGTAATGGAAAGAAAATAACAGAGAGAGAAATGAGCCCCAAGCAAGACAAGTGATACAAATGAAAACAATTGCCCACCACCAACTGACAAATGGCCAGCCAGCCCCTGAGCAGTGTGCTCCTGACCAAACTTCCCTCTAATTTATTGCTGAGCATGCCGTCCCACGGTATGGCATATTGCTTTGGTCAGCTGGGGTCAGTGTCCCCTCCCAAGTTCTTGTGCACTCTCAGCCTACTTGCAGGTGGGTTGGGGTGAGAGGCAGGAAAGGCCTTGGCTCAGTGTAAGCACTGCTCAGCAATAACAAAAACATCCCTGAATTATCAGCACTGCTTCCAGCACAAATTCAAACCATAGCCCCATACTAACTGCTGTGAAGAAAATTAACTCTCCCCCAGCCAAACCCAGGACATCGCTGCTCAGTGCACTTAGCCCACTGCCAACATGTTCTCACTGCAAAAGCAATCCTCTGATTTGTTCTCTTCGTTTTGTGTTCTCTTTCAGACAGAAGAAATAAGCCCAAGCTTCTGCTGAATCATTTGAAAATAAGTTCTGTGCCATAGGATCACAGTCTGACAAGCACCAGGGGCTGCTTTGGAGATGCTGTGCAGGGGACATAGATCCCACACACGAATTTCCAGGGCTTTACAGAAGACTAGGAATATATGACAAACAAGCGTACTGCTACTTTATACCTTTATTTCCATGTGTAAGACAGTTTAATTTTTCATGCTGTCACGTTCCTACTACAGGCTGTTTTACCAATAGCACACTACTCTGCACTCTAATAGGCAGCATTTTCCCCCAAATTCACCGTTCTTGTAACATCCAGAGCCCCCTCCTTCGTGTGTGAGACTGTATGATCAGATCACAATATATCCTTAAGGACACATTTGTTCCTATATTTATTGATTTGATCCAGGCTCAATATGCTTTACAAACAAAAGTACCCTGGTTGGTTTTAATTTTTACCTTAAAAAGAGATGCAGTGGTTTGGCCCCTGTGTCTGAAAACAGACGGTTCTCCTGACCATATTTTTGAGATTACACCATTAAAATACAACATTGTCAGTGGGCTTTTTCTTAATGAGGAGAATTTCATGGTCTCATGGAAAACAGAGAGGGGGAGGCTCTGCATGGGCATTCTCTTACTGTGAGAGAAAAATGGTGCTGCTGTCTGGTATTTGGGCTCTGTACTGAAGCCATTGCTGTGCTTTGGGTACCATCTTATTGAGACAATTAATTATACTTCTTCCTCTGAGAGGTTTTTCTTTGAGTAGGAAACACAGGATGGTACATTTGCTACCTTCCTCCGTGATGTTTTATCCCTTGTTGCAATAGCTTCTCAGTATCTTGAACATCCTTAGGTAGTTAAAATACGTTTATTGTGCTTCTTTGGAATACTGCTTCGTTTTTGTCTGAGGTTAGGAAGCAATTTAGGACTATGACCCAGTCTCTGCAAGAGTACGGTCATGAGTGGTACAGCATGTGGGAGAATACAGGCAGGTATCTAAACTTCTCACCTCCAGTCATCTGGAACTTCACTTCCGAAGAACTACAGGATCTTGATGAAGTGATAGAATGTTTGAAAAAAATAAAATACCGTGTCTTTTCCAAAGAGGTACAATTTACTGCACTGTGCTAGGCCCTGGCCAGCATCTACCAAACACTGCTCGACATTATGCAGGACCACCAGGCAGAAGAGAGGGAAAACAAACCAATAGACACTATGGCTAAACCAGATGCTATATCATTCGCCCCTATAATTAAAAAGAAACAATGGAAGTGGAAGTCAGCTCCTTTAGTAAGGGATGAAGAAGCTTCACTTAGAGGGGCCAAGAGAGAGAATCAGAAGAAGCAGCTTGTTCTGCAGCAGAGCAGTCACAAGAACAGGAAGAAGAGGAGACTGAAATCGTAAATGAGATTGAAACTACCTGAAGATGGATGATGACTCGGATGGAATCTGGTGCACATCGTCCATGTGGTGAAAGTCTGTATGAAATGCACTCATGTCATACCCCCACACCCTGGCAATAATGAGCTGGACAGATGTGGAGGCACCAGCTATAGATGAACCAGTCAGATAAGTCTGAGAATATGAAGATAATCCCACCTCCTCCATGTTGGCCTCTCTCAGCTGTGGACAGACTGACCCAAAAAATGTCTGAGCAACATGAGAGGGTAAGTCTCCCTCATGCACTCCAACCAAGGCCTCAGCTATTAAGAATCAGTTTTTTCCTGTTCAAGGAAAAGGGTACCAGTGGTGCACACCATGTTCAACCATGTGGTTCTTCCTGTGTGTGCAGTGGGGGGACATGAGGAAGTGGGATGGTGAACCTACTCAGAGACTAAAAGCTCAGGTACAAGAACTGCAAGGAATCACAGAATCACAGAATCATTT